CACACACACACACACACACACACACACACACACACACACACACACATGCATACACACACCACGAATGCAAAATACGTGGCGTAATAAGAAATTCCCAATGCTAATAGGTTGGTGAAAGTTTGGTAAAAAGTCATCCTGCAGAACAGGATGTCAAGGAGTTTTGTGCAATAATTTTGAATAGAAAATATTATAATCTCTTAGGGAGCACTTCTGGTGGTTGAAGGGCTCCACTGGCAGATCTTACTTTATAACAATTCTTTGTAGCTTCCTTTTATCTGTTTGCTTATTTGTCTGTCTGACTGTCATTCTGTCAGTTTGCATGTCTGCCAGTCTCCCTCTCTCTCACCCCTATCCCCCTCCCATCTCTCTCTCTCTCTCTCTCTCTCTCTCTCTCTCACACACACACACACACACACACACACACACACATACACACACACGCACGCACGCACACTCTTTGACGGTCAGGGTGAGATGGGTTAAAATGGTCGTGGTGTAGGAAAGGGGGGTGGGGGCGGGGGTGGGTGAGGAAGAATTGGCAATAAACACACGCCCAATCACCCAGACGTATAAATTATGCAACTGTAGAATAACAGATTTGAACTCTCACTCCAAGGTATTTTTTAAACATACGAGAGATTTACTGTAGTGTGTAGTTTCGGCTGTCTGTCCTTTCTTACCCTCCTATTTTACTCTAGCTTCTGAACCACGCTTTCTTGTCGTAAAAACCGGCATCTGTAATGTAATGGTTAGGCTCCTAGCTAGTTAACGTCGTGAGTTCGATTCTAGAAAGGGATTTTTTAAAAATATTTGAGAATATTATCCGTCTGTCTGCTGGGGTGTTGTACCTTGCTTAGCCAGGGTTGGCCCCGAAAGACTGGAGAGAAGCAGCCTGACTCCAAAATAATTTAATGGTAGCATAGAGGTAAAATATTTACACATTGCTGTCTTGATGATCTATTTGGGCCTCAGAGATCTTTCCAAATTGGGGAAATGGGAAATGAGATATGTATTGGTAATGGCCGACGTTTCATTCGGGCATGCACTCAAACACACACACACACACACACACACACACACACACAC